ACAAAATAGGCATACTGCATCACAGCCGTCAGGAACAGATTTGCCAATTTCGTCGATATCCATATCTTCATCGTCTGGGACAAACTCGTGACTTTCATCCTCAGAGTCGCTGACTTTATTGTCTTTTGCTTGCTGTCTTTTTTTGTTAGTTGTCTTCTTTGCTTTTGATTTTGAAAAGACTTGTCGTTTGGTGCTTGCTTTCTTAGGCGTGTTGGTGCAGGATTTCTCTAACTCATCCTTGTAGGGGGAAGAGGTGATCACTTGCGATTTAGTTGATTTTCTTCCCCGAGTGGTATTTTTCTTTGTGACGGAAGGTACAGGTGAAATGTCAAATGGTGAGACCAATTTAACGGAATTTTCCATTCCTGGAACAGATGGTCTAGAGAAATTGGAATTTGACGGCGAAGATGTTGCCTGTGATTGTAATTTAGCTGTATCTTCCCAAAAAGAACATCCTGGCTGAGGTTCTGGGGTACCATGCTGGGGTTCTGTTGTGACAGGCCGCGCTTGAGGCGAGGCTTGAGACAAAATGTTGCAGTTTTTCTCAGCCTGAATTCGTTCAGATATAAAATCTGCTTCAGAAAAAATGTGACGGTTGAACGGATATATTCCCGTCGCCCTAAAACCACTAGCAGCTATTTCGGCACACTGTGATTTTAAAAAGGCTTTACCTAAAAGTTCTGCCAAGTCAAACTGTGTGAGGGCTCGTTGGTTAACACGAAGCCAATTTCTAATTTCCTCACTGTAATAAGCCTTGAAACTTCCCATGAATGTTTTATCAAGGGGTTGTAATTTATGAGTTGAGTGAGGCGGCAAAGAGATAATGGAAATATGATTTTCACGAGCTAGTCGAATAACTTCTAAGTTTCGTGTGTGGCTATAATGGCCATCTAACACTAGCAGAACTGGACATTCTTTTGTTGGTTTAACAAAATTTATGAAATGCCTCATCCAATCGGAAAACAAATTCTGTTGCACCCACCCACTTGGATGTACTGCGTAGATTGAACCTGGAGGAGCCCCTCGCATCAGCTGTTCGTTGCGATTTTTTCTCGGGAAAATTAACATGGGCGGTACAAATTGACCTCCAGCGCTCATTGCAGCTATAAACGTAACTAGTGAACCCCGTTCGGCTGAGGTAATTGAAGCAATTTGCCGTTTTCCTTTTCTTCCCACCACTGATGCCACCTTACTTTGAACAACTGTAAGCCCAGTCTCATCTACATTGTAAATTTGGTGAGGCGAAAATTTATTTTTTGAGTATTCACTCTGCAAATTGTCAAAAAATTGCTCCACATTTTCCTTATTGAAGCCTAATGCTCTAGCGAAGGAAGTTCCTGTTGGTCTTCGAATAGAAAGTACATTTTTGTGACGTAGTAAAAATGCATCCAACCAGCTTCTCCCCGCCACACCATTTTTAAATGGATGAGCTATTCCATTACGAACAGCTAAGACATATGCCATTTTTCTAATGTCCTTTCTTGTGAGACCATAGTAAGTAGCTTCCATGGACAAAACATATTGGACAAGTTCTTCCTCCAGTTCTTTTCCTAATGTTGTCTTTCTTCCTAGTTGAGTTTTAACTACGTCACTAATATTTAAATTACCTTCCTTTTGTTTTTTTAACAGTCTTTGAAGTGTAGATCGTGGCACGCTGAACTGTTTGCTTGCAGTTTTAAGACCCATTATTTTGTTATTAACACTGTCCATAGCCTTAACCATATCTTCACGTCTCCATGTTTGTCTTAAGTTCTTTGAAAAAAACTTCGGTTTGCTTCGTGGCATAATGAACTGCAAAAAAAACACTTTATTAAGACTTGGTCCGAATATGAGCTCTGTCCCATAATAGGACCACGGTAGGGGCCCATATTAACAACATTCCACCTGATTATTTAAAAGCATTCAATTTCTTCTCAATTCATTATTAGGTTAGTTTTTATGATGGAATATCAAATACTGATCACTTTTCTAACATACTAACACATCAACTCTCCAGTTTCAAACATAAACGTTGATAAATAGCACAAAAACACTTACCGTAAAATATTTGTTGAACTACACAAATAAACTTATGTCACCTGTTAGTACAGAGATATACACGAGACTGCGTGCATAAACAGAAAAATGTTTGGGGGTCTAGTAGAAGTATTTTAGTACGAAATTCATAGATGTCGCGACGTGCTCTAGTTGAAATATATTGGGGGCCCATAATAAGTGCAGGGCTCATATTCGGACCACTTCCTCTAGTATGGTAATAAAGTCAAATGTTTAATATACATAAATGAGTATGACCCTAATTTTAAAAAAAGATGGATATTAAACTTAGAGGATACTAGCTGACCCTGCAAACTTGCTAATTTAAGTTGGTATTAATAAATATTCTTCTTCTTTCTACTTTATAAATTGGCTTAATGTCTGTTTTACTTCGGTTTTTAGCCTCAATTGACGTTGTCTGGCCATCTTTTCCTCGGTCGTCCCAATGATCTTCTTCCATTTGGCGATTTGTCTCTTGCTATTTGTACTATTCTATTTTCTGTCATTATTTCGATGTGTTGATTCCATTCTACTTTTCTTCGTTTGGTCCACGCGTTTAACCCTTTGTGTCCCGACGGTACGTCTGAGTACCACTGTTTTCAAAATAAATAATGAATAACATATTCTTTCTTCCGACTCGACGGTACTTAAAAGTCTACATTATTGGATGCGTCTAACACTCGTAGGTCACAAAAGTGACAGCGGTATTCTAACAATATCACCAAATTCAGTCATAGTTGGCGTCGGCGTCTATTGAACGAGTGTACGTGCTTGTTTATATAGATAAACTTATTTTGTTGTTGATTCAACATAAGCAGAAATTTTTGTGGCAGGTATGTAATTTATGTTGTTTTTTACTTTGAATAATAAAAACTTAGAATTATTATATTATTGTAGTTCACATGAACATTTTTAAACCAGGTACTTGAAAGCACCGTTGGGCCCAAACACAGGTTAGCGTTTATAAAGTTTGAGTAAGAACTGATTATCTTATTCTTTTCAGATTTATAATTTCTGTAAAATGAGTAGACCTAAAAATAGGCGGAGCTAATACTACAGGATTTGTCGCTAGATAATAATCAAGATACTGATACTGAAGAAGATATTGAAGAAGATGAGCAAGAGGTGATAGAGAATCTTAGTGCTCTAGACACAGACGAACGTTGCTTTTTGGAAGAGGTGGTGCAGAAGGGTATGGATAATGAAAAACAAGAAAATGACGAAAGTGAAAGAAGTGTATCTGAAAGCGAAGGCAATACAAACAATACAGATGAAAATGACAAAATACAGGAGGAAGAGCCAATACCAAAAAATAAAACGAAAACAGCAAAAAATAGTGATCATTCAAAACACTCGAAGTCAAATAAAAATGACAAAAATGAACCACAAAGCAAATGGCAAAAGGTAGAGAAGGCCACTCTTTTACCAGATTATACATATCCTGAAGGGATATTAGGTGATCAATTTCTCACCTGCAAAACAGCAACAGATTATTTTTTAACTGTATTAGGAACCTCACTAAAAGAGATTTGTTACCAATCGAATTTATATGCAACACAGAAGAACAAGATACTTAATTTAAAAGAAGAATAACTTATGTGTTTTATTGGTATAAACTTTTTTATGAGCTATCATAAGTTACCTAGCTATAAACAATATTGAAGTACTGCTGAAGACTTGGGAGTATCTCTTATTAGTCGAGCTATGTCCAGAAACAGATTCCAGGTAATTCTGTCATATTTGCACGCAAATGACAATTATTTTATACCTACAGGCAACATTGACAAACTATATAAAGTTCGTCCATTATTAGATACACTAAACAAGCAGTTTAGTGTTCTCTACGACGGCACTAGAGCAGTCGCCGCTGATGAATCTATGATTTTGTATGATTTTGTTCAAGGGTAGATCTTCCCTAAAACAATATAACCCTAAAAAGCCGATAAAACGGGGTTACAAACTATGGCATTTGGCAGACGAAAAAGGTTATATAAAAGCATTTAATGTATATCAAGGAAAAGTTACAGAACTTCAAAAAGGTAATATTGCATTGGGACTAGGAGAAAGAGTTGTCCTTGCATTGACAGAAAAGGAATGGGACAAAAATAGAATTATATATATTGACAATTATTTTACAAGTATTCCACTTTTAAAAATCTTAAAAACTAAAAACACTTTGGGGTATGAAACAATTCATGTTGAGAGAAAAGGTGGCCCTGAGAACCTAAAAACAGATAAAGAATTGGAGAGAGGTCAGATTGACTACCGAGTGTCAGCTCAAGGAATCAGTTATTTTAGATGGAAAGATAATAAATGTGTCAACTTTTGTTCAAATTTTCATGGTACTGAAGTCACGACCGTTCAGGGACAACAAAAGAATGGAACAATAATAAATGTATCCTGTCCAACAGTTGTAGCTGATTACAATCAGTACATAGGAGGAGTAGATCTTGCTGATCAACTACGTGGGTCATATGGATCCAATCGTAGATCCAAAAAATGGTGGCACAGATTATTCTTTGGATTTCTTGACATTGCTTTTGTCAAACACTTTTATTTTATACTCTCAATCTGAAGAAGAGGCAATGACACTTTTAGATTTTGGACGATCAGTAGCTTTGGGGCTCATCACTAAATTGAACAATAACCGACGAAGAAGCAACAACAATCACATCCAAGTTTCCAAACGCAGGAGATACGCCTATGGTGTGCCAAATTATATAAAGTTAGGGAACAGAGGGGTTCGTTGGATTCAGTATTATAGTGAACGTGGAAGATGTGAAATGTCCTCTTCTCAGGCAATACAGTCTCGGCCGCATTCAAAATGTATTACTTGCAATGTTTTTTTTTGTTCAAATGAAAAGAATAATTGTTTTAATGAATATCATGACATTATATGAATAAATATTTGTAGCAACACCTCTTACTACCATTTTTTTTATAATATCCCCAAGTTCCGAAGGTACCTTATAGTACCACTACCCCTACATGTGAGATAAGAGATAGCATACATTTTTGACTTTAATTATATGTTTAGAAACATCATTATAAGTACAAATTTTAAATATTACGTTTATTCTTAAAAAAATCTATATTTGGGACACAAAGGGTTAATTCCTCTATACCACATGTCGCTCGTATTTCGTACTTCTAACTTTATCTATTAGAGTTTGGATTGTTATTTTTCGTAAGACTTTCATTTCTATTATTTCCAGCAGTACTGTGTATGTCATTATCGGTCTCATTGTTGATTTATATATCCTGGTTTTCGTTTCCGTTATGGGGTATTTGTTGCTCCAGAATGTGTTTTTGAGACATCCTGCTACTCTGTTTGCCATGTTCACTAGTTTTTGTACTTCTTCTTTCACTTTTCCGTAGCTTTACAGTTTTATTCCCAAGTATTCCGTTTCCATCACTTGTTCTATTATTTTGTTATTTACGACTAGTTTACATCGTCTTGGTTTCGCTGATATCACTGTCGTTTTAGTTTTCTGTGTTGAGATCATCATGATGTATATGAGCGCCGTATATTCGAATTCTTTAATTAATTTTTGTAGATCATCTTCATTTTCGGCTGTTATTATGGCGTCGTTGGCGTAGCATATTATCCTTATTTCCTTTTCTCCTATTCTATATCCTCTTCTTATTTTAACTCTCTCTCTCTGATTTTATCCATTATCAGATTAAATATTAATGGGCTCTGCAAATCTCCTGATCTAATGTCAGTTTCATATTTGATAGGGTGAGATAGTTTTCCTTTACATCTTACCATAGCTATGTTATCTTTATATATATTTTCAATGGTTTTTACTAACTCCAGTGATATTCCCTTTTCATATAATAAATGAATCGCGTCCCGAATTCTCACTCTATTAAACGTTTTCTTCAAATCTATCAGACACATATATGCTGGTTTATTGTAATACAGCGACTTTTCTTTTATTTTTGTCTTATTACAGAAACTTCATCGGTGTATGATCTTCCTGTCCGAAATCCTTGCTGTTCCTCTTTCAGAGATATTCGTTCGTTTATTTTTGTCGCTATTATTCTTGCTGTCAATTTGAGTGTTGTATTTAAAAGATTTATTGCTCGATAATTATTGGGTTTTTCTTATCTTCTTTTTTGAAGAACATCACCATGGTCGCTCTTCTCTATGCATCTGGTATTCTGTTTGTGGTGATTATTTTATTAATAAGAAGTTGCAGTTGTTGTACAAGGTAATCACCTCCATATTTTAAGAGTTCATTTGGTATTCGATCTTCTCCTGGTGACTTTCTGTTTTTTAATTTGTGTATTCCTTCTTTCACATCATTTTGGGAGATTTCGGTCTTTTGCTCAGTTATTATATTTGGCGTTTCTGGTAAAGGTTCTTTGTTTTGTTTTTTAAAGATTTCTGTCAGGAAGGCCACCTATGTATTCTCTTGTATGTGTTCTATTTCAACTAGTTCTTTCATTTCGCTTCTTTGTTGTTATATGAAGCGCCATAATTGTTTCTGTTGTCCATAGAAATCCATCTCTTGTCCTTTTGTGAATCTTTCCAGTAATAGGTTTTTGTTTTTTTTTTATCAATTGATGAGTTTCAGTTCTTATTCTTTTATATTCTTCATATCATTCATTCGTTTTTTCTGACTTATTTTTTAGGAAAGTTTCTTTGTTTTTGGTGACATCTTTGTTTAACCTCTAGTGTAAACCATGGTGTTTTCGTTGACGACTTTTTTTTTCTCCAGCTAGTCTCTACATTGCTTTCATTTTCGATATTCTCTATTTGTATTTTCTGTTCTAGACTATTTTAATATATTGATTTTATGGAGAAATCTCTTAAATTTTCCATTTTTATTATTTGCTCTGAATTGGTTTGTTCAAGCTTTTCTTTCCGTCTTTTATTGAATTTAATTTTACCAAGTACCAAATAATGATTGGTAAAATAGTAATGATGCAAACTCCGCCTTCATTACCCACTAGGTGAACCGAGTAGCTTGGTGGGTGAAGTTGCCGGTCTTAATCCCGGATATAGGAGGAAGGTTGTGGGGTTAGGTTAGCAGCCTGCCACTTATAAAAATAAAATAAGCTCAAGGAAAAGGTGACAATTCTCGGACTAGGACAGAAATTATGGTAACGACAAAGGCGAGAAAAAGGACGACGAACTGGAAAACGAAAAATATAATGAAAGTGGCGACGTGGAACATAAAAAGCCTAAATAAACCGTTATCAGAAAATAGAAAAAGAGTTGAGAGAATATCAAATAGATATCTGCGCTCTATAGGAAACAAAGAGGAAAGGTAAAAGACAGACGCGGCTTGGAGAATATTTACTAATATATAGTGGGGTTCTGAAACAAGAAAGAGCAGAAGAAGGTGTAGAAATAATGATCAAAACAAAATATAAAGATCAAATTAAAGAGTGCCAGTACATATTTCAGAGAATATTTTGGTAAAAATTAGGCCGAACAGCAAAATTATTAACATAATAGGGATATATGCACCCGAAGTCTGCAAACCTTACAGCGATAAAGAAGAATTCTATGATGAGCTACAAACATTAGTTGAAAGAGAAGTGAGCAAAATTAATTACTTGGGAGATATTATTGGGAGATTTCAATGCCAGAATAGGAGACGAAGTATTACCAGAAATAAAACAAAGGTATAACAAAAGAGTTATTAATGAAAACGGAAAGAGCATGGTGGAATCTGCGCATCAAAGCAACACATTTTTTGATCATAAATTCAACACAAATATACGTTTGAAAATACAAGAGGACATAGATCAATGACAGAATATGTAGCCACAAACAGAAATATTGACCATAAACAGATAGTGGATGTGAGAAGCTTGACGTTACCCAATGTGGGAAGCGATCATTATTTGGTATTAATAAATGATCTGTTAAATTATTATTTGAATAATTTTAACTTCTTGTATTAAGATCAAGAAGTCGTAGCAATGATGGATTTGCAAACATGGCTCCCCACACATATGTTAACTAATAAAAAATCGTTTTATTTAAGTTCATCATCATCATTTTGGCTTTACAACACTGTGTGGGTCCTAGCCTCCCCAAGAATTCTCTTCCAGTCGCCCCTATCCATCGCCTTCCTCCGCCAAGCACGTATTTCCATATTTCTCATATCTTGGTCTATGTTATCTAGGCATCTTGTTCTGGGTCTTCCTCTTCTTCTATGACAAATAGGTGTATCAAGGAGCGTTTTTCTAGCTGTGTCGGTTTGCTTCATCCGCATTACATGGCCTACCCACCTCAGACGTCCTATCTTAATGTGTTTTACGATTTCTGGTTTCTGGTATATTCTATTTTCTCTTTTATTTAAGTTACGGACATTTAATTTTAAATTTTACCGTCTATAATGATAGTACTGCCGAAGGTTCATGCTTTATGTGGGACGAGTCTATTGGCAAAAAGAATGACAAAAACAAAGCTTCCACTGTAATAATGTGGTTAAAAAAGTTAGCTTCTACAACAGAAAAGGTAACATTTTGGTCAACTGCTTTGGCCAAAAAACCGATTTTTTTTATTTTGTGTGTATATGTGGGGCTGTCCATAACACCTCAGTAGTTAAAATTTATCATAAATATTTACTCATGTAACATACACACAATGAAGCGGACAGAATATATGCACTGATTGAAAGGGAGAAGAGAAGACTGTCTACTATGAGTATTTCTGTGCTCCATGAATGGGTTCAGTTTATAGGACCTGCAGTTCTTTAAAACCGCTTATTGCTTATAAGCTGAAAACAAGTGACAAGTCCGTTTATTAATAAGAAACGAAACACAGACAATGAACTCTTTCTCTCCTTTAAAATTCTGCACTTGAAAGTCGAAAGGGATCACCCTGGCATTATGTTTTATAAAACATTTTTCCAGAAAAAATTTACAACTCTCAATTTTACAAGAAAAATTAGAAGTTCTCTCGATGATCTCCCACCAATGATATTTGACCAAATAAATAATAAAAAATCAATTCTAATTTATAGTTCAAAATATAACCACCTAATGGAATTGCTTAAATGGGTACCTTCTATTTACCATTCCATACAAAGTTGTCGTTAACGAAGACAATTCTTCATCTTCCGAAGATAATTAACTGCTTTTTAATTTATGTTTTATATTATTTTTATTTTTTTATACTGTTAAGTTTCTTTTTCTAATAAAATCATACCAAAAAGGCGGTTGCCCTTTTTTTATTAATATAGTACCACAGAACAAAAAAGGTTGTAGTCCTAAATTATTTATTATTTCAATACAAAAACAATTTAACGCCGAGCATGTTACTATAAAATAAAATACAAAGCATATTTTATCGCTTTCTTTAAAACCATACAGCTGCAACATCATTTTTATGATTTTAAAGGCATTTTAAATTATAGTGTACAAATTATGGGCACTAATTTTGATCTACCACAAAAGAAAGTGAAATTGACTTCTGTCCTTTCAATTCTAATAAACAGATAAAGTTGAAATGTGATAAAATGATACACAAATTTAAGACAACCTCTGGATTACAACTATTATCAAGAAACTAACAGGTGGCAATATAGTTCGAGACTATTATTTGTCTACAATGGTATAAAAATAAATCATCTCACCTTAACAGATGTCCGTCCCGTCGTCTCGATGTCTGCCACGGCGAATCCTCGTACCTATACGCCTTCCTCAAAATGGGGGCACACGAACAGCTGAGCTTGTTGCCCATCGAAGCTGCCGGGCACTGGCACTGCGGCGCCCCCCTTTGTCACCACATGTCGCCGAATTCACCGGTGGCCCCTCTCGTCGAACTCCACTGGCTTCCCGCTGCACCTGACACTCCGCGTACGCCCCTGTTCAGTGACTGAGATCGCTGATGGTGATGGTGGCCACTGCCGGGTTTGCCGTGTTTGTGCTGCTGGAACAGACGAAGAGAAAGCGAAATCAGTAGGCGGATATTATTATCTCTGTATTGTATTTTATGAACTGCATGGCGATTTATTGAGATGTGGGTTGAACTACATTGCGGATGTC